TGAGGTCATAACGTTCGGTATTGCCGGCTTGCATGCAACCTGCATAAAAATATTTTGCCTTTGCATCATATGCATATGTGTGGGGTCTTTTGTTTTCTCCCGCCGCGACTTACCCTTGTGCGCGAGTGAGTGGTTTTGGATAACGGTTTGCTTTAGGTCCTACTGCTGTTGTAATCCGCTGCGTTTGATCGCTTTCTCTTCTTGTGTGATCGTGTTTTCCATGGTCTGCGGGACTTTTTCACGCTTACTGTACAGCAACAACAACGGATCAAAGAGACGCTCAACGTGCCCAAGAACAGTCATTTCAGATATATGTAGTCTAGACTGCTACCGTACCAAACCTCTACATAAACAGTGCCGGCCCGCACTTAAGAATATGGCACTTAAGAATTTGATGCTAAAAAAAACCGTCACTTCGAGACAATCAAAGCACACGTGAAGGCGGGCAACTCCGTTGCGAAGGTGTCAGGCAATAAGTTAACCCTAGGTTAGGTCAGGGTAAGAAGACTTGGGGTAGGGTAATCGCAGGATATATGTTGAGGCGTGATGGAATGGACTTGGAATTGATGGCTTTGGGAGCAGGGTTGGAGTTAGTTCTGGTTGAGATATCGTCAAATAAGGTCATGAAAAGTGTATGAGCTGGAGACTAGAATTGAGGAGGTGTGGGTTTATGGTTGGAATGATGACCTTAGGGGGGAATTGCAGTTATTTGGAGAGAAAGTGAGAGAGAGTTGGAGAGAAAGTGAAGCGGCGCAATTGGATAGATACAGAGAAAGCGGCGCAATTAGCTCGCGTCAGCTGATGTCGCGTGCCCACTTCTTCAGTGTTCGATTTCCCTGCTGTTCCCGGCCCACGAAGGCCTAAGAAACACACTTTGATCGCAAGAAACTTCGAGACGCGCAAACCCACGACCCCACTGGCACATCTACACACATATCTAGGTGCGATAGGCCATCGCCGGCCGATTTCACGTCACTGGCACCGAAGGAGGGGCCACGCGGTTAGCGCACCGCCTGCGGTGTGTTCTTCCCATGGCACAGAGAGGTGAGGGAGGGGAAGTGGACAGCGAGGAAGGGAGGGTTGGACACTCGGACCACAGGGGTGGCGGTGGTTCTAAGGGCGGTGGGAAGGATGAGTTGCCGACGGGAGGGGATGAGTCGGCGCTGTCAGTGAAAGGGGACGCGTTGACAGAGAGACCTCGGGAGGAAGGGAAAACGAGGTCGGGGGGAGACGTTGAAGTTGGAGACTCACGTCAGACAAGGGAAGTGCTATCGAAGAGTGTACAGCAGACATCCGAGGATGCACAACGGACAGAGGCTGAGGTCTCTGGGGGAAAGGGTGGAAGGCCTGGGGGCAAGGGGGGTTCTGAGGGTATTGCGCACGCTGGGGGGAGAAGTGTGTCGCGCAAGGGTTTGACGGCGGTGGGTGACTTGGAGAAAGGTGTGTCTTCAAGTCTAGCAAAAGGGCTGACGCAGATCACGGGAGATCGGGGCAGAGAGATGTGGGGGAGTCATGTGTCCGCGAGTCGGGGAAGGAGTCCGACGAGAGTCTCGGGGGCAGGGGCAAGGCGCCTCAGCGCAGATCAGAGGATGGCAATGGAGGCAATGGCAATGCCAGGGGTTCAGGTGTTAGCGCCACGAAGTAAGAAAGGTGGGGAGGATACTGTTCTCGTCGAACAAGCGAAATGCGCAGAAACAGAAGGTCACAGACACCTGANGGAGTCATGTGTCCGCGAGTCGGGGAAGGAGTCCGACGAGAGTCTCGGGGGCAGGGGCAAGGCGCCTCAGCGCAGATCAGAGGATGGCAATGGAGGCAATGGCAATGCCAGGGGTTCAGGTGTTAGCGCCACGAAGTAAGAAAGGTGGGGAGGATACTGTTCTCGTCGAACAAGCGAAATGCGCAGAAACAGAAGGTCACAGACACCTGACGCGGGTCATTTTATTTCTCGTACGTCACGTAATGGGGGAGACCAAGGGCCCGTCAAGGATGAAACAACTCGCAGGAGGAGGGTCAATGCCCAGGGGGAGGAGGATGGTGGAGGGGGCAGTGCCTCGGACTAGGGTGGTGGAGGGGATGGAGAGTCTTTTGGTGGGCAGTCGCCGGATGGGGGGAAGGTGAGAGACACATCGATTGCGATCCTTGACTTGTTACATTCGCACTTTGGGGGTAATGTGGAGGCTCTCCAAAGTCTGGTGTCCAACATGGGGGGAGGTGGAAGAAAGGAACCAGCGAGATACAAGAGAAATCTTGCGGGGTGGAGGTGAAGGGTGAAAAGGGTGAAAAGTATTGCGAGATTAAACACAAATCTCGACGAGTGGTGGTGCAGGGTGGAGGTGAAGGGTGAAAGAGGTGCACGGTATTGCGAGAATAAAAACAAATCTCGAGAGGTGGAGGTGAAGGGTGAAAGAGGTGCACAGTATTGCGAGATTAAAAACAAATCTCGAGAGGTGAAGGTGAAGGGTGAAAAGTACTGCGAGATTAAAAACAAATCTCGAGGAGTGATGGTGCAGGGTGAAGGAGGTCCCGGGTATCGTGATGACGAAAAGAAATATCGCGGGCAGAAGGGAAGAAAATAGAGTCCAGGACCGGGATCAAAACAGAATCTCGGGGAGGCTGAAAAACAGAGAAAACAATCATCACGCGAGAACATCGAAGACGACTCGGAGAGTAGGATTATTGAGGAGGAGGGGGGCCGATCGGTGGTGCACAACACCGAGGGTGATGGCGTGGCGACGGGGAGCGTCTCGTCCAACCACGGTAAGCGACGTTTTTCAGCATATAAAGAGTAGTCCAAGCAGGGTGGAAGTAATTATCCCAAACTGCAAGTGGTTTGGAGTGCTAAGAAATTGAACTGCACGGATGTAGGCCGTGGGAGCAAGAATATTGGGGAGTAGGCCCCCGCAAGAAATTCTTGGTCGTAGTGCGTCGCAAGATGTACGTGCACAGCTTCAGGAACCAAGCACTAGGAAGACACACAGCCAGAAGTAGGCGTGCCGAACACGCCCCCTTCGTCAGATCAAACGAATTTTAGCGTTGTTGGCAGAATGGGAAATGTTCATGACAATGCAACACCAGCGGGGGGGGGGGGGGGG